GTCTGGGCTTAGGGTGGTTCTGTGTTTGTTGGGGTTTACATAGGGGTGTTGTGTGGTTGCTACTGTTGGGTTTTGGGGGCTTAGGCACTAGGTGTAGGTCTACTCTCGACTCCAGGTTTTGAGTTTCTGGGTCTAGTTTTTGGGCCCGAACCTTTTATCCTTAAAACTCTTTCCCCTAAGGCTTAGCCGGCCTATTTTTAGTAACCCAGAAGGATATGTGGAACTTTCAACCCGGACCTGAAACCCCAGCCAGCCTAAGTAAAACCCTAAGCCTACAAGCCCTGAACCCGAACCCTTTAAATTAAACCTTAAGCCCTAAAAGCCCTGAGCCCTAAAAGCCCTGAGCCCTAAACCCCTCATAGAAGACCCCCCCCCCTATGTTGCTGTTGTTGTTGCTGCTGCTTTTGGGGGGCTCTGAAGAAGAGCCCCTTGTTGTGGTTGTTGCTGCCGCTGCTGCTGCTGCTGCTGCTCCTGCTGAACTTGTTGCTGCTTGTTGTCGCGGGCTCTGAAGAAGAGCCTGCTTGTTGTAGTTGTCGTTGTTGTTGTTGTTATTGCTATTGTTGTTGTGCCCCGTATCCTTAAGCCCTAAACGGCCCAAGCCCTAAACCCCAAACCCTAAACCTGCCCCAAACCCTAAACCTTAAACCCTACCCCCCCTAAACTGAGCCTGTATCCTTAAGCCCTAAACGGCCCAAGTCCCAAACCCTAAACCCTATACCCCCCTAAACTGAGTCCCACGGCAGCCGGCCGACGTCGCCGCCTTGCAGGCCGGCTTAGGGGTTATGGGTTTAGGGGTTATGGGCTTGTGGGGTTGTTCTGGGCTTAGGGCTAGGGTTTGTCTGGGGGTTGTGTTAGCAGGCTCGGTGTTTGGGTTTGTGTGGGGTTGGGGTTCTGTTTCCGGCCTACTCAGGGTTAGGTTTTGTGTGGGGTTGTGCTACCGTGTTCTGTGGGTGTTCTGCGGGTGTGTGGGGTCTGCTCTTGTGTTAGTGCTGTAGGTTTGTGTGGTGGGTTCGTGGGTTGGTGTGGGTGTGGTTGGTTATCTCAACCCGGACCTGAAACCCGAAACCTGAAGGGTCCCCTTATCTTTAGAAACTCAGTACAAGCCCTGGAACCCATGCCACCATAATTAACCATTCTATGCCCAAACCCCTTAAACCCTAAGGCTTACAAGCCCTGAGCCCTAAACCCCTCGGAGAAGAGCCCCTGCTTTGCTGCTGTTGTTGCTGCCGCTTTTTGGGGGCTCTGAAGAAGAGCCCCTTTGTTGCTGTTGTTGTTGCTGCTGCTGCTGCTGTTCTTGTTGCTGCTGCTGGGCTCTTCTTCAGAGCCCGTTGCTGTTGTTGTTGCTGCTGCTGCTGCTGCCTAGGGTTCTGTTTCCGGCCTAACTATGTTATTGTGGGCTATATACTAGGTTCTGGGTTCTGTTTCCGGCCTAGTCTAGGAAGCCAATTCAGAAGCCAGGTTTCAGTGGTTTTTCCAGTAGATCCGGGTTCCGTGCAGACGATGTCTGGTCCCTTGGTCCTCCGTGCTCTTGTGCTGTCTTGCCGTTGCTGATCTCTCTACCATGTGAATTTTGCATTATTGTATTTAATTGGCAGGGCACACCAACACTTACCAGCACTTGTAAGCCAGGGCCGAACAATGCAGTTTGCTGGAAAGCACACACATACACACACACACACATACACACACACACACACACACACACACACACGCACACACACGAACGAGCGAGCCCACTTCGATTGGGAATGCACGGCAGCACGGTTTTCTAAGCCCACGGTCCAGTCGCACAGCCTCACCAGCAAGGACGCCTTGGCCATTGCAGGAAGTAAAACCCAGGAGAGCGACCTGGAGGACATGTCCACATGTGGCCCAGAAGATGAAGCAGAACACCGATTCATCAGTCCAGGGATTCAAGGTCCACTTGCCGGATGGTTTCTTTGAGTCCAGCAGAAAGCTTGTTGCACCAGATCAGCAGTCTCTTGACTTCCGGTTCTAGACGATTCGTAACCTCGACCACGTCAGTGGTTGCACGATGGACGCCAGTCAGTTCCGCACGAAGTTGGCTCTGACTGCCCTCCAATCGCAGCAGACGATTATTCCCGGCCTCAGAATCCAAGCGGTGCTCGAGAAAATCCAGTCGACCAGAAATTCCGTTTAGCTTCAAGCCTAGATCGCGAATGGCCAATTGGTTGTTACGAGATTCTCGGAGCAGGGCCTCAACGGTCCGTTGCAGTTCCGAGTCGGATAATGGGTACTGCTGCATGCACTAGTCGCCGCCAGCACCTACCCCAGCCTCCCGCATGGCACATATAGCATGAAACTGGCCGCAGTACCGTCGCTGGAGCCGCGAGACGAACCATCATGAATTCAGACGATGACTGCCAAAAGGCCGCACACTTCTTTGCTAGGCCCAGAAAAGGAAGCACCCACATGCATAGTCGCCATTAAGATCTGAATTCCCGAGCTCTGCAACCCCAAACAGTACATCCCAAAGCTTCAGCCGCCCCAAAATCCGAAACCCACAAGCTGAAGAGTGGTATTAGCCACTGTTGTTGAGGGTCCACCGGGAAAGCCTCGTCGATCCCGCTCTGGCAGAAGGTGCAGATCGCCACGGCCAAGATTTCTAGGCAAGGGTGTTGAGGGTTCTTGGTTTAGGGTGTCCAACCTATCAAGTGGTTTTGTGCCCTTGGCTACTTGTGAAAGCCCCATTGACCGCTATATCTTCCAGGGTTGATTGCTCGATTATTAACGGCACCTGATGCCATGTATAATTGAACTACTCTGTGCACTGGTGGCCAGCCCTATTTTCAGGATTTTTTTGGTGGAGGTATCATTTAGAGTTTTAGTGCCAGGTCTAACAGCATGTTGAGGCATTGCAACTTTCAATTTTTTTACGGAGGTATCATTTGGAGTTGTAGTGCCAGGTCTACCAGCATGCTCAGACATCGCAACTTTCAAGATCCAGCCCAACACCGAATTACCCGGAAACCCTTGTCCCCGAGCCCTGAGCCTAGTGCCCAACCCGAGCCCTGAGCCTAGTGCCCAACCCTATTTGTCCCAGAGGCCTGCAATCAAACTTACGATTCTCTGGAGGGCCCCAAAATTATCTACGGAATTCTACGGAAAGCATCCGTTATGCTAACAAGTCCCCTGAGCCTAGTGCCCAACCCGAGCCCTGAGCCTAGTGCCCAACCCTATTTGTCCCAGAGGCCTGCAATCAAACTTACGATTCTCTGGAGGGCCCCAAAATTATCTACGGAATTCTACGGAAAGCATCCGTTATGCTAACAAGTCCCCTGAGCCTAGTGCCCAACCCGAGCCCTGAGCCTAGTGCCCAACCCTATTTGTCCCAGAGGCCTGCAATCAAACTTACGATTCTCTGGAGGGCCCCAAAATTATCTACGGAATTCTACGGAAAGCATCCGTTATGCTAACAAGTCCCGTAGTTACAAGTGCGAATGCTCCGGTTTATGTTGTCCTAGCAAGTCCGTTGATTACAAGTGCGAATACTCCGGTTTCCAGAGTTTACACATTCGTGTACATGTCGCAATTCAACAGGTCGTTCTTCGATTCCCTCAATTCCAACAATTAGAGACGCCGCAGGAGAGCAAGGCCCACGTTCAGGACCTATGCATAGTGATGCGCCACTGAGAAGATCATCGCTGCATGATAAACTAGTTCTACACAGTGACAGCCGTGACAGCAACATACCACGTGTTCGTGTTCGCACAGTGACGGATATAAAAAAGACAGTAAAAGAAGAGTAGAGTCGACATTCAGGTTTTATGACTAGAGACGCCTCCGCAACAATTGAATGGATCGTCGCTGCCTATAAACCAATTTCTAAAACGCCATGTCAGCACCAACCTGCCATGTGCACGCAATCGGCTTGGGTGTCGGGGTGGCATGGAACACAAGGGATAGTCGCTCCTGGTCCTGTTGTTAAACAGATTGCGAGGCCCCCGCATGTGGCAGTGCTTGCCCTGATACGCCATGGGCTTGGCTCAAGCTTCTGTCTTGCTTGCTTTTGCCATACAGCACGAAATTCACCTTCGAGTCGCAAGTACATGTGAAAACTTGGGATAGTCCAAGGGACCCTTGAACTGGCCCTAAGCCCCTGACCCGAAAACCCCAAAAGCCCATCAAAACCTCAAAAGCACTCGAGTCCGGAAGACAAAACCCCTAACCCTCCCCCGAAACCGCCCAATACCACTCAACCCAAAAGCCTCTAACCCCCAATCTCAGAAACCCCAAACCCCCTAAAATTTCAAGCCCATGACCCCGGATCTCAATTTCCAACCCTCGAAACCCAAAATCCCTAACCCCCATACCCTAAATCCAGAAACGCAGAAACCCCGCAAATCGCGGGAACCGTAACCTCTTTCCAGCATGGGCTTGGATTGTGTGCCCGCGAACACTTATCTCAACAGCACCCAAAACCCCAAACGCTTTGACAATCCCTATTACACCGTTATTACAGTTCACAAAGAAACCCAAAAAGTTAAAGTCCTAGGAGCCAACTAGAAGAGGGCCAAGCACCACGAAACCACCCAACCTTCCCGAACCCCTGAAACCGCCAAACCCAAACCCCGCAACACCCAAAACCCCCAAAACCGAAACCTCAAAACCCTTAAATCCTACACTTCTGCCGGCAGAGTGACCCACGTTGCTTCGGCATAAACCCGTGGCTCCACCTGACCGACGGATACAGTGCACACACACACACACATGCAAACATGGTTCTACCCTGCATGTACAGCTACAGGCTCGGATCTCTGGACGTGCACGAACCCCTCAGCTTGCAATCGCTGAAGTGACGATGTCCACATTTGGTATCAGCGAAGCAGACTGGCGACTGGAGTCTCTGCACATCAAGCTTTAAGCTACTGCAAAACTTTGCCTGCTTCGACGGTCAAATCTTGCTTGGAATCTTGGAACCGTTGAATTGTTTGCAACCACCGAAGCAGACTGGCAACTGGAGTCTCTTCCATTGCAAGCTACTGCAACACCAAGGCTTTGCCTGCTTCCACCGTCAAGTCTTGCTTTGCAATGACAATGGGACGCAAGGGCTGCAATCCATTAATGGACCACTTCAGCTGCCATCCTACAGCAGAGACTTCCGTGTCCCACTTCTTGGGAGAAATCTTCTTTGCAGCCTGGCTCTGGCTCCACTTCAGGCTTGCCTCTTCGTCCACGGCGCCGAAGATCACATCGTTGACCTGTTCATTGAACTCTGGGGGTTATGCTACCTGAATGTACTCCGAGAATGAATCACGACCCAGCCTTCTCCAGCTCCCACTTGCCTTCTGGGTTCACGGTGGCCTTGTGGTAGCAAACTTTGCACTGATCGAGGCCCTTGGTCATCCTTGCATTATCCAGGATCTCTTCAAAGGTTTTGGCAACGTTGTCCACGACGCCAATCGTGGCCGCTGAGGGTGCAAACAAGATGTCTTTGTCTTCGTTGAAAGCGGCCTTGTCTTTGCCTCCTTCCCGGAATTTGCCTTTGCCCCATCCGCACAGGATGGCACCGGATGCAAGGGTAGCCTCGGATGTGTGAACAATTTGCATGCACTGTCAAGGCCTTCCTCAAAATCCTGAGCCCAGGAACAGCCACAGAGGTCTCGTTCAGGATCATTGGGCCCATGTCGCTGATCACAAGTGTGGGCAACGAGTCGGACCTGGTAGCCATGCGGGCATTGACGAGTGGAACCTCCAGAATTCTCGTTCCAGGGGCATCCTTCACCTCAACAATGCATCCACTGAGGTCCTTTTCAGCGGCCCTCTTCTTTGGATTCTTTACCGAAGGAGCCGTGCCTCCACCATCTTTCGAGCCCGGGCCTGCACCCTTCTTCACAACAAAGTCCTTTGCCAGGGGGTTCCTTGATCGGAAGTCCTCGACGAATTGCTTGAACTCTGGCTTCAGGTCCCACCAATGCTTGATCATTGCATCGGGCAGCTCAATGGTCACGATCTCACCGCCGGCCTGTTTGTCTTCCGAGCTCTTGGCTACGGACTCTGATGCAAAAAAAGGGCATGAAGTTGCCAACCCTTAGACCCCTAAACCCCTCAACCCTAAACCCTAACCCGCACACCCTTAAACCCGAAACCCTAAACCCTTAACCCCTTAACCCCTAAACCCTAAACCCCTAAACCCTTAACCCCTAAACCCTAAACTGGCTACGGACTCTGAAACAAAGCCAGGGATATGAAGTTGATTTAGGCGGTTTTGCAGAGCCAACCCTTAGACCCCTAAACCCTTCAATCCTAAACCCTAACCCGCACACCCTGAAACCCGAAACCCTAAACCCTAAACCCCTAAACCCTAAACCCCTAAACCCTAAACTGGCTACGGACTCTGAAACAAAGCCAGGGGTATGAAGTTGATTTAGCCGCTTCTGCAAAGCCAACCCTTAGACCCCTAAACCCTTCAACCCTAAACCCTAACCCGCACACCCTTAAACCCGAAACCCTAAACCCTTAACCCCTAAACCCTAAACCCCTAAACCCTAAACCCCAAAACCCTAAACCCCTAAACCCTAAACTGGCTAAGGACTCTGAAACAAAGCCAGTGGTATGAAGTTGATTTAGCCGCTTATGCAGAGCCAACCCTTAGACCCCTAAACCCTTCAACCCGAAACCCTAACCCGCACACCCTTAAACCCGAAACCCTATACCCTTAACCCCTAAACCCTAAACCCCTAAACCCTAAACCCCTAAACCCTAAACTGGCTACGGACTCTGAAACAAAGCCAGGGGTATCAAGTTGATTTAGCCGCTTATGCAGAGCCAACCCTTAGACCCCTAAACCCTTCAACCTTAAACCCTGACCCGCACACCCTGAAACCCGAAACCCTAAACCCTTATCCCCTAGACCCCTGAACCCTTGTTCCCTGAAGCCCTCCTTCGCACTAGCCCGGAACTTAATGAGGGCCCTCTTGGAGTAAGGGTTCTTAAAGGGCTCCCTGAAGGGATCTATAGGGATCCTTAGAGGGATCTATGGTATTCAGGGTTTAGGGTGTACTTGGAGGGCCGGTATATCTGAAATGAAGTTGTTTGTGGGCTGCTATGCAGAGATTGATTCAGAAACGATATGACATGAAGTTGATTCAAGCTCTTATGCAGAGCTTAAATCAAACATGAAGTTGATTTGGGCCCCTTAATATGAAATGTTTTGGTGAAGCATTGAAGCTGATACGGCGAGCAAAGCGGTTGGGCCTTTCCATAGACGCATCTCTTCAAAGGCGGTGGCTCGGGCTTCTCTTCCATGTGTGCAGCCGGCGGCTCCTCTGGCAACCTGCCAGAACGGAAACTGCATAATGAAGACTCTAAGAGAAGCAAACAAAGTTAAAGACTGACTGTTCAGAGCAATGTGTTGTGAGGCACGACAGGTGCCTCTCCACGTTCGGCACTTTCAGCTCCCCCTGTTGGAACTGCTTTGCCAACTCGGACAACCAGAAGCTGATGAACCATTCTTGGTGATCACCGTCCGCGAAGATGGGCACGTAGTGTGTCGGCAGATTCATGCTTTGGGAGGCGGAGATGAACCCTTCCAAGAAGTTGCCGACGTTTGGGGTCACATCGACGACCACCAAGCCAGTCGCCGTTCCAAGATTGGTGCCATCCTCGCATGCAAGGCGAAACAATAACGAGGGGCCGATACTCTGCATGACAAATTACAGTGGTCTATAGTGTGCGAGTTGCAACTGCAGCTTGAAGCAACTTGGCAGCTCCGTCACCGCCAATCTGTGCATACTTAGCTGCCCCTTTGATGTTCTGTGCAGTCACGTCCGGCAAGGCTGTGGGGCTTGTGCTCTCGATCATGATCATGCTCCTGGATGGCACCTGCTTGGCCTCCGCTTTGGTCCTGCGATTGCGAACCAAGAAGGAGTCCTTCCAGAGCCAGTGGGTCTCATCGCCATCATCCTTGAAGCTCGCCGCCGGGGGATTCAAGATCTTCCCCTGGTACGCCATGGGTCGCTGATCTCTGTGGTCCGTCTTCGATGACACATCGTAGAGAAGCTGAAACCCCGCATCCACCTGAAGCCCCGAGTTGCTCAAGGTCTTGAGCAACGTGTACTCCTCGTTGAACAACCTTGAGTGCATCAGGCAGCACGGCAATGGAAGAAGAAGGCAGCAGGAATCACGCATGAACCGGAAGATTAAAGGCATCACCTAGTAGCTGACCGGGCTTGTAGCTGAAGCACGGGGATAGCAGCACACCCATCGCTTGGCTCGAATGCTGAGGAGTCGTAATCCACGTGGACATGAGCTTCAGAGTCGCCAGCGAAACGTCCGCTTTGATCAAGGAGGGGGCCGTGTAGTTGGCCACGAACAGCACAGCCTCGGCTACATTTACCCGGCACATCCCCCCCAGGCACTTACGACAGGACTTAGTAAGACCAAGGGCCGACCGGCGAAGCTTCACAGCTCCAAGCCAGTTCTCCACATCCTTTTCCACGCCTGCCAACATCTCCAGGCCGGTAGCCAGATCGAATTTGTCCGGCCAGCATTCTGAGGAAACCTCGGCCACAAATCCCGAATCTGAGGAAGTAGCTTGGATGCAGCTTACATATAAGTCTGAAAGCAACCCTAAACGCTAAACCTACATCGTCAACCTTAAACCCCATGACTCTCAAACCTGAAGAAGTGGGTTGGATGCAGCCTACAGGATAAGTCTAAAAGCAACCCGAGACCCTAAACTCTATCTATCTAAAACCTTAGAAAGTGGATTGTATTAAGCTTACACATAAGTCTAATATCAACCCGAAACCACATCAACCCCAAATCTTTCTCAAAGTGGATTGGATGCAGCTTGCTTACAAATCTCAGTTGAGTCTTTAAAGAGGATTGGATGCAACTTATAAGGTGAATGAATGCAACTGAAGCAAACCCAAACCTTGGTTTGGAGCTTAGGGCTTAGGGTTTCGGTTTGCCCGATCTTTCCAGAAAAGCAGCTTTCGTGTCCCACCACTGCCGGGATGCTTCGGAGGCCCGGTCGAGGCGCTTTTTCAGCCATGTGTCCTTCTGGTGAATGACACGCACTCCATAGTCCTGGAGCTTTCTCTGGTAAACCTGAAGACACTTTTCGTCGTAGCCGATCTCCTCCACCATGAGCTGGTAGGCCTGATTGTCCAAAGCTGCTTTGGCATCGGCCATCTTGGAGTCGCTTGACGCCTCGCCGGCTTTCCCGTCCTTGCCAGCTGCCAAGCTGTTCAGAATCTCTGCCAAGCCTGAGTCCGGAATGCACGGCAAGCCCTGTGACCTTGGATTGTCCGTGCCAAGCCAAGCAGCATGCATTGTCTCGCGGATGCCATTTCTCGTCCTTGTTCTGGCACGAAGTAATCAGGTCCATCTCCAGGACGAGGTCACCGCTTTCCAGCTTTGCGAGGAACCTGGGATGCGAACAAAAATCAAGTGCTGCTCTATGGTGGCAGGCAAGCAGGAATGAAGACTAGGAGCTTCTGCTGCAGGACATCCTCGGCATTGGGAACTTGGGAGGCCAACTCATCCACGATATTGCCTTTGTTTAGGGCTGGAATGAAGCTGCAAGCACTGCAAGCAGGATGTCAATGTGCAGTCAATGTTCAGACAAGACACATGCCAGTGCACAAGCTTCCGCTTTCTCCTCCAACTCAGCTTTGGACATTTTTCTCGCCCTATTCTTCAGAGATGTCGCTGCCCATTGGTTGTTGATCATCCGGAACAGCAACACGCAGGACTTCTCCGAGTTCTGTACTCGGCCCTGCCAAAGTGAATTTCGCGGAACCCGGGACCCCTTGAAATTAAACGTCGGCAGCAGCTTCTTCGAGCTCAAGGAGTCGTCGCTGTATGGACAGCCTCGGTTGGTTCGCAGAAGCTGTGCAATGTCACCGTAGATATGAATGGCCGGAATTAATTGCTGTCCAGGTCGCTCTCCCATCCATACAAACTGACGGCGCCGAGAATCGACACACGGCACTGCTCCGGCATTTCCAGGACGGATTTGACCGCCATGGCCTTGGCACCCACGATCTTGTCGTGCTTGGCTGCATCCTCATTCCTGGGTCCAACATGGTTTGCGACTTGGACACAGCAGCTGCAATGCAACACACAAACAAACGGTCTCTGCCAGAGACTCCAAGATTTGATGAGCTGGGCTGGATCATAGAGCTTGGCATTGCAGTTCGACATGTTCGTGAGGCTGAAAACCCAGCTCATAGCATTGGGCGCCTTCCTGATCGAGCCCTTCGTGGACTTTTTCATGTTGAAAAACCTCAGAATGACGAGCTCTGCATAAGAGCTTAAATCAACTTCATATCATATCTAGGCTCTGCAAAAGAGCCTAAATCAACTTCATGCTTTCGTCTTTCCTTACATAATGGTCAGTTAGTTGACCATCAACTGACCAGGCCATCTAAAATGCTCAACAGCCAGCAACTACCACCCTAAATCAGATCAGTCCAGTGGCAACTCCTGCTGCCGATCGGCCAGGCGGATGTGCTTGCATTTCATGCATGCCAGACTCTTCTTCAGAGCCTCCGGCACCTGCCCGCCGGAAAGAAGAAAGGTGCACTGGTGCACATGTTTCACACCTGCAAAACAACCAATGTGTTTTTGAAGCGAGATCCGCCTGCTCGCCACTCAAGTGGCACGCAACAACAGCTGCAATGGCCGTCAGCACCCTGGCAGCCCCTTTCAAGAAAAACACAGTGCCAACCGGGATATCACCAGAGTCGTACATCTCACTGTCCTGCCATGCGACAATATGGAGCACCGACTAACATGAGCAAAAACCTCAGCATCCCGAAACAATCCTGCATTCGAATGAGGATCGGCTCCGAGGTTGTCACAAAGCCGTCGACCGCATAGTTGTTCAGCAACTTCTCGCTGGTATCCAGGCCGGGTGGTTCACGCAGGCTCGCTTCGTTCTCCACGGAGAACATCATCGGATGCAAGAAGAAGGGCTCCTGGCCATCTTCAGCTCCTGAAAGCAAGGGCTACTCT